TATCTTTAGCCTTGATAAACATCTTACAAACTGACTTTGCCAAATGGAGAAATGCAAAGAACGATTTTTTTTGTATCATTCTGACATTTTTTATTACAAGTCACGAAAGCTCCAATAATAATTCCAGACAGATTTTGCGTGTTTACCCCATGTACCTCATGCCATATGTCTAGTGTCGTCAATTTCAGAAATCAAGGCCAGTTTTAGGAATTTGTAGCAGATGTGCACACAAAGTAAAAAGAAAACATTTGTTTCTAAACAGAAAATTCAGTAAAATCAAGTACCAGAAAAAAATTAACAAAACACAGGAATTTTTTTTTGATTGTTTGCATGTATTGTTTTTATGGATTAACAAGTTTCTGAGCTACAGCAAAATTTTAATTCTTTAGTTAATCCTTGCCCCCATAGATTTTCACAGTTTTTCTGTAAGGTCAAGTTTGGTTAATTTTTGTTTTATTTTACTTTATTTACCAATTTGTATTTTGATTTTTATGAAAGGCTACATAAAGAATGAAAGAACAAATAAAAAAAAATAAATAAATAAAATAAAAAAACACCACCTCTAAAATTATTCTTTAGAATAAATTGGTAACCATTAATAACTATATGGAAACATTAATTTTTTTCTTTAATGAACAGATGGTAGATTTGTTTGATGTCAAAAAACCTAACTGAGACAAATTTTTATTTCAAGTGTCTTGTTTTTCCAATTTTGTATCTTTTAAAGCACTTTTGTATTGTCCACAGTGTAATTTTTATGAAAGGGATTTTGGGTATGTATAAAACTACTCACTTGGGGCTTCCATATATATTTCCCAAGCCAATGTGTCCATGTGACATCTCTTGAGATAAGTACTGTAATAAAATGCCGTCGTTTGCAGGCCTAATCTAAAGTCTTCATCAATGTTTAGTGCATTCTATAATCACTCATATTCAGCTTGTCAATTCATTTTACTTGTTTATGCTCCACCTTTCCTGTTAACCTTGGAAATATTAAATTCCTTGGCAAAAAACCGGTCATTTCAAGGATTTATATTTTATTTTAATTATACAAATCAGCAATATATCATTACGTTAATTTTACCTTCTGACAGATGCTGTCTAAATATGTTGATTATGTAAAATATACACATGTATTCGTAATTTATTAATCATCTTTTAGACTATATTTATTATAATTCATTACTAACCTAGTTTCCTAAAATATTCCATGGCCATATAGACAAATCCATTTGGAAGAGGGCGCTCTCTCTTGGCGCCGCCAATAGTGCGACCTTCTTCTTAAGGTCCCCCGAGTGCATTTTAGTAGATTATGATGAAAACAAAATAGAGTACATTCCAATATTTTCTTTTTTAGCAGGTGATACGTAAGAATTATCCCTCCCCCAACCCCCTTTCCCAAGCTATGGTGTCTGAAAAGGGATAATAATCACTGTAAATGGATCAGTCTATACTGTCGATGTCGAACAATTTAATTTAATATTGCTTACTATGAATATTTTAAAGTATAGCAGACCTTGTCATTACAGGCGTGCGATCGCGCACCATCGCACAACTAAACTGCTATCGAGGGGTGTGAAAAATAGCTAGCCTTACATTTCAAAACAACTCGCCTCCACAGCCCTCGAAATGCCGATGCAATTTTTGCTGACCACAGCATTTATTTACCAACGTAAAAGATGAACTAACAAAACTTTCCTGAAATCCGAACAACGTATTTCTTCACATGTAAATATTGGAAGTTAAATTTGATGTCTTCTTGACTCCTGCTGATTGCACTGTATAGCGACTGAACGTTCATCTGCAGTATTTCTTCAATCTTCACGCCCCCTCTCCCCCACACATCCCGCAAAATAATCACTCGCCTGAAAATTATGGTGAGTGTTTTATTGCTCGCCTGAGATTTTCAAATGACAAGGCCTGGTATAGACGTGAGCTTTCAACTGAGAACAATCATATGACCAAGTCGAAGGAAGCTCTCAATAGCCTTCAATAACAACTGTATGGATGCCGAAGGAGCTGACTTAAAACAGTTATGTAATGTATTCAAACAAGAAAATATTTTCCTCAGCACTAACATACAAAAAACCATTCATATATTCTTTGCTTAGACTCAAATCAGCTGGTAATCCATTTAAGGATTTTTGTAGAAAAGTCTGTAACTGTGAGAAAAACTAAATTCTCTTTATTTATGTGTCATTAGAAGGTCCCCTATAGCTTAGATCCTTTCATTTTATTTGTTTAGGCACATGGGTCAATGATTGCCAATAGCAGGCACATGGGTCAATGATTGCCAATAGCAGGCACATGGGTCAATGATTGCCAATAGCAGGCACATGGGTCAATGATTGCCAATAGCAAATTGTCTCATTATGAGGCTCCAACCCCAACCATGTCTCATTATGAGGCTCCAACATTGCAGTTGATTTGGTCGTGATCCAAAATTGCCACGCTTCCATCCCCCCCCCCCCAAAAAAAAACAAACAAAAAACAAACAGGGTTTCAACATCCAGGTATTGGAAAGCATGCATCTTAAAATGAATACAAAGAAGGTGGCTTTCAAAAATATGAAATGTATTCGCAGTTAATATAAAAATGTACAAAAATAAAGTATTAATTAGAAATATTATTCACTTCCGTTGCTTATGTAAACAATTTAGTTTAAGCATTGGAGACATCTCCGCAATTTGAGAAATATAACCTAACTGCAGACATGATTAACAACATGTAAATTTTATCTACCTATTCATTTATCTTCATAATTACCCAAGGATAAATCTGCTAAATATATTAACAGTAAAAAGTACACTTAAGTAAAGGACCAGACTAAATGGAAAATGTATTATATTTCACCATGATTTTGCTAAAATTTAAAACACAAATGAAGAGATCATGATCGACAATCAGATCCCTGTATAGGATAAACAAAACATAACTTCCTTTTAAAATTTAAATTAGTTGCCTAAGGGTATTATATAATACCATCCAGATTTAATATTTAGTCAAGTTTACTTTAAACATTGCTTAGAAAAACAGGAAATATCAAGAGATAAGTATGTCTGTTTGTTAAGGAAACAATTTCTCCTGAAGGGTTAAATATATATGTACTTAAAAAATTAGTGCTTCAGGGTAACAGGTTAAGGTAAGTTGGATCAATGCTGGACTATATCCACTTGAGAACTAAAAGGCTGTGTAATATTATCATCATTTTTCTTTTAAATTGGTGCAATATAAATATTTATTTATACATGTGACATGCCTAATATTGTCATGATGACATCATATCATGACCTTATATAGGCACATCATGACTATTTATAAGCATACAAGTCTTTTGTCATAAGAAAATTTGATAGTGTGTATGAAGCTTTAGAAATAATTTGTTCAAAAACTGACTTATAAAATAATTTTTTACTTATCATTCAAAAAGTTAACTCTACTTTAAGATCAGAATAATAATTAGTATCTAATATCAATTTTTATGTACCAAAATCTGTTTTATTATCATGTATATGATAATCAACGTTAATTGCTTTACCTTTGTGCTGTTCGGTGCAAATTGAGAGAGCAAAGTAATGTTATTTATGTAGTGGGATTACTGCCAAATGGACATAGGAAAGGCTAATTAAATTCATCGTCACATAGATGGCTGGTGCTTCCAAAATGGATTTACATAGTTCACTAACGTTCTCAATCCGATGAACACATTTTAAAATGCCACAAACATTACCATCAACCATACAATTTGATATAAAGTGCTGTAGATATTTTTAGACATATTGTTTTGCTTTTCACTTAAATTCTGGTTAGGTAATAGATAATTAGATATTTGTCCTTAAATTCTATATAAATGTATCCTTCCTTTCCTCCAACTTTGCTTGTTTCATTCTAAACTGATTTCAAATCAAAATATACACATTTAGTCATGCTACAATTAGTGCATATCAAAACCATTTGATGAATCACACAATGATGGATCACTTGGTAGCTTTGAGAGCAAACAATCAAAGAGGGCAGTAGAGATTTTCACATAAGAATTTCTCCACTCAAAATATAAATTTTCCCCACAAATCTACCAAAAGAGGGCAGCATTGTAACTTTCGCATGAAACTTTTAATAGCTCTCTATGTGTGTTGTCTATACATAGACATCAGTGAATTTAGTAACTGTACAGTAAATGTTAAGTAATTTTTGTATAAAGTTTTATTCAAATATATTTGTTCCAAATGGGATTTGTTTCACTATTTTAATTCTTCTTGTTCTGTTATAATAAATTCAAAGATTTAACTTCAAAAATAACCTTCTGGATAAATTTGTTATATGTGCCCTATATTAGAGCAATCATGATTGACACTGTACTTAAGGTCCATCCATATGTACAATTTGATGAATGGCCTCCCCCCACATATAAAGAGGAAGGGGATTGATTTACCTCCCACCCATCTGGCTCAAATACTCGGCAAAATTACAAAATGAATGATAAACGACAAGCCAAAAACTAAACATCAGAATTCAGAACCAATGTTTATAGTGTTTCAGTTTGCTTGTTTTCGGTTTAACAAACACACAGTCTTCCTTTCCTTTCTCTCCCACCCCTTTTCCGATTTACACACACACACACGCCCACACACATGGAATTACATACATTAAAGCAATCCTAACACTTAAGAACCAAAACAAGAAATGGCTCAGGACAGAATTGCCTCGATATCTATCACTTAGATGAACAAAAAAAAGTTAAACTTGGGCTTAGCATGTAAAACAGACTGAATAGTCTTCCTTTCTTTCCTCACCCCTCCCTCCTCCAAACACACATGGCATTACAAACATCAAGGCAATTTTAACACTTTAGAACCAAAAACAAGAAATCAGAACAGAATTGCACTCAATATCTATCACTTACTTAGATGAACAAAAAAAAGTTAAACTTGTGCTTAGCATGCGAAGCAGACTGAATAGTACAGTATCTTATAGTATAGTACTAGTAGTTGGTTACCTACCTCTATAACAGTAAGAAGCTCCTCTGCCAAACCTTCCTGTCCAAGGATTACGATGTTTAGCTTTTGAAACTCGTCATCACAAGATTGTATTGAACTAGGGGCTGAAGTTCTGAAGTATAAATATAACCACAAAAAAAAAAACGAAAAATATTAATTTTCAATTATCATTAATATCAACATAGTGTATTTACAACTAAGATACAAGGAAAATTATCTAATCAAAGAATATGCTGCGAAATCTTGCAAAGCATGTGTAATGTTAATGTGTCTATCACGGATATAACATTAATGTGACATTCACTGATATAACATCATCAGACGACAACAGTATAAGACAAAACAGTATATCAAACATGCTAACCTGTGAACTGCATTAGCTATGTGTCCATTTATAAGTAGATCCATACATCTTTCTCCACTAATGCAGGTTTCAGGGGTTGGATGCTGAATGAAGGCAAGGTGCTTGATAAGTAGCGCATGACGGTCGTTGTGCAAAAACTCCAAAGCCGTGTACCTGCAGTTGGAGCAAAAAAATAAAGACACAGATGTCATATTAAAAAAAAATCTCTTTCAAGTGTTATTATTTTAAAAAAATACATTATTTATACCAGTTTTCTTTTTAACTTGGGGTACTAGTATTTATTTGAAAGTCTACTTTACAAGCTCTATTTAATAAAGTTCTGTTGATATCTTAAACTTTTATTTTAAAGCCATATTCCAAGCAAAATTTCAGTTGTTAAGAAAAATCTGATTTTTATATATGTTATAAAGATTTATAAATATAATACAAAATAGCTAGTTCAACTGAATTTAGAGATTCTTAAACATGAAAAAAATGTAAAATAAGACTGAAATTTGATTTTTTTGTGTTCCAAACAAAAAAGAAATGCGGATGAATTTTTTATGTTTGATTTTGCGACAGGTCTGCCAAGAAATATAGTAGGCGCTGGAAACATTAGCCCATCCAACACTGCTAGGCTAGGCCTAGCCTTACCTCGATTTAGGTTCTGTTATCACACATAAAAACGGCTGACATGATATTTTCCATTGCTAGTATTGACACTTGTGAAATATAATATTTCATAGGTATTATTTCAAATTTGTTGAAAAAATAATTCTGACCAAGATTTTGACAATTAAACAAACATATCTCAGTAATATCTCGTAATCTCTTATGAGAAATAGTTTTTCTCATTTTTAAAATTTTTTTGAGTAAAACTAAAATTATGCCAATGTTTTTTTTCATGGTTTATATTATAATATTAGAGTAATGCATATACTTTTTTTCTAAAAAAATTCTTTTTTTAGTGAAATTTTGCTGGGAATGGGGCTTTAACCCTGTGATTACCACTTTACAACAATAAAATTCATTGGGGTAAGTGACGGTTAATAATACACCCTAGAATTAAGTCAAGTCCTATAGAAAACATAATTAAAAATTAAGTAAAACTAAAATTATGCCAATGTTTTTTTTTCATGGTTTATATTATAATAATTAGAGTGATGCATATATATTTTTCTCAAAAATTTTTTTAGTGCAATTTTGCCGGGAATGGGGCTTTAACCCTGTGATTATCACTTTACAACAACAAAATTCATTGGGGTAAGTGATGGTTAATAATACACCCTAGATTAAGTCAAGTCCTATAGAAAACATAATTAAAAATCCTGACTGACTGAAGCCTAGGAGGGAAGACGGGAAGGGGGAAGTAATATTAATTGATTAGTGTTTAACTGTTTCTTATACAATTTAATTATGGGATGTGTATGTAATTTAGTATCAGTACTGTAAACACATGAAAAGGTAATTGAATATTTTATTACACAGGAATTATTTCATTAATAATTAAAAATGCAGCTAAAGCCAGTCCCCACCTTGCATCTGACTGCAACTTATCCTGTATATCTAAAAGATCGTTATGAGAAAGTTTTACATCATCAAACTTCGCAAAAAAATCTGCAGACTCAAATAGAAGTTCCTTGAAATCGTCTTTTGCCTGTCTCGTAATCTGCTCCTGGTGGCTGTTGTAGATTTCCAAACACTCATCGTTACTTAATTCTTGAAAGCTTTCCTCATTGTTGAAGTGTTTAATGACATCTTTGTACAGTTTTCCTGCCATAACCTCCTGTTTTGAAGCTTCTAGAAGCTTGCGGAAATCTGACTGCATTCTGAGAATAAGATTGAAAAACAGAAAATAGTTAAGTATACAGACAAACCAGACTGTATTTAGTAGGCATTACTGTATATCCTTTGCATAAAAATTTGCCCTAGAAATCTGTTCGCGCATTTCAGAAATAAGGGCTGATTTCTGTGTAGATTTTGCCGACAATAAAGCTTTGACCTAACCTTAATACAAACAATGTATTTTGCAGTAAATACGATTCTGCACACCTCTTTTCCCACAAAAATTTGACCTGGATTTTGAGGTATCATCACCACAATTAAAAAAACTTTTCAGTATGACAGGCAATTCTTCTACAAAATACACAAGTAGATGGTGATTGTTGGTAGTCTGTGAGTGGATACAGTACCGCTGTGAATTATCGATTCGTATCTGTGTGTATCCACTCGTAACCTGCTCGTAGATACCGTTTTGAACGTAGCTACGAACCCCTACGAAGGTCATTGTTTTGCAATGATCATAGGCTGGATCGTCGGGCTGATAAACAATGTGTAAACAATATTGAAATATAGTTTACCAGCTTTCAACCCCCTTTCAACATATGAGCAATGTTGCAATTAACTAATAAACAATGTTAGACATTTATTGTTCGTTATTTCCTACCTTAGATCGATCATGTTTTAAAACAGTGGTTAGTTACCTAGTCCTAGGCCTACAGAACTGTGTGTTCGAATTTCGATGTCATTTACGACCTACATTTTCACCAAGTTTTATTTTCCATTGAGTTTTCCATGCGACATTCGGTAATTTTACAATTAAAGGACGTTAACTTTAAGGGGAGACTCTGATCAAATCAGGAGTACATTTTTCTTATTGAAAAAATAGTTCCATACTTTAAATTAACGGTCTAAACTCGTGCTGGTCATTCACAAACGACCCAGCAATACATTGTTTATTCCAGTAAGTTACAGCAGTTTTTCTGCACATACAAATAAACAACACTTTTGCTTTGTAGTTTCGCTTCGTAGCCTTGCTTATATAATTGTTTATATCAGCCTTCAATGTAGCCACGAAGCCTGTGCGCAGGAAAAATTGCAATAGTTTCTGGCAGTACTATACTTTACCTGGATAAACTGACTGAATGAGTAAGTTACATGGTTACCGGGTGGGGAGTTGACCGTTTTATTATTTTTCGAGGGGTGTTTTCTTGAGAGGGAAATACTCTAGGCAATTAGTCAGTTTATCTAGGTTTATTCACAAACTATTGCATATAAATTTTAAGCAGATGTATAGTAACAATCATTATATAGGTTGTACAGTATTTAATTATATAATAAAAACCTTATTTAATGGAATGAGATATAAAAGGTGTTCTGTAGGTGACCTCTAGTTAAAATCTGTGTTCTACTTGTAATCTTTAGGCGAGACTTTTTTTATACCTTGTTTAGCGAACCCGCCGATTGCAAATATTGATGATTTCAAATAAAAATAAAATTTTTTTTTGGCCAATTAGCGCACCTGCTGCCACAAGAAAGTGGAAATTCCAGAAAAAAATAAAAGTTTTTCTTTATTTTATTACGCCCTCCGCTGCCTTGAAATCTCCAAAGATATGTATATTTATTCCTAATTATATAAATTTGGAGCATTTAACCATCCTATTTTACATTCACTAATAAAATTTAATTTTTATTTTCTCCTCCGTCCGGATGTTTTTGGCAAAACTATTTGCTAAATAAGAAAAACAAAATTTTATTTTTATTTTTATTCCGCACTCCTACTATGATCTTTAAAAAAATAAGTACACGAAACAAGGAATATAAAAGTCACGCCTTAGTGTTCAAATGCAGTGTACAGTGTACAAAAAAAGAATTTTTATTGGCAAAAATATAAAAAAAATTAAATCAAACATGTGACAATATTTGCAAGATGTTTGTACCCATTACCGCTTTAGTAAAGATGTTAACCTCACTATTTAAATCTTTTATCTACCTTTCTTTACGCTTGGCTGCACTCAATTTGTTGAGGTGGTTTTTAAACTGAGATTCACAATCCAAGTCATGGGTTGTGAAGATACTAGCAGGAATCCTGGTGTCAATGGTCTGGTTTATGTGCGGATGCTCCTGCCAATCACCATCTAGAACGATGAACCATTTCCCAAAATGTTCATGTTCCTTTATCACTTGCTTACACTCAGACCATCCTCTGTAAAATATGATACTTGTTAATAAAAGTACTAGAACAATTAATAAGTGATGTTTTGCCCTACATAATAACTGTATTAAAATACTGAATACGTCCCCAAATACTTGCAAAAAAAAATAAATTTGCAAGTGATTCATGCGAGAATCGAACCTACGACCTTCAGGTAACTAGCCTGGTGTTATAACTACTAAACCATTGTAGTTTCATATTATTAAAATTTTAATTAACTGTTTTAAGGTAAAAGGATAAAGCAATTACGATGGTTTATATTTAGACTTTTACTTATTGCTTTTTACTCTAAATAAATCATTTTTTCACTAACATTTGAAGTTTACTTTAACTGTTGCATGTAGTTAATAAAATTATAAAATTAAGATCATATAAAACACAGGACACATACTGTACTACAATCATTTTGCTTTTGACATTTACAAACATGTGTTAAAACTAACGAGACTTATTTTTTATGCATGTCAGTCCAAGTACAATATTTATTTTTAAATGTCAGCTCTGACATCATCACTTTCATTTTCACGTAATTTTCCTATCCCCGATCAAGCACTAATTCGATATAGTGCCTGATTTTTTGAATTTTGTGTGCAAAAACCTCAAAGCTGCGACTGTTTTACATGACAACGATTATTTCATAGCTCTCAATGCACATAGCGAACATAACAAATCTGGCTCTATAGTGCTGGTTAACGCGATTGAAGCCTAGACCACCCACAGATTAGAATAATATGGTTATGAGATAGATTAGGATAACATGGTTATGAGATAATAAGGTAATTGACATATAAAAAAAACTTAAAAGAGATGGCAATGCTGAAATAATTCATAATGTTTACACTTTAATCTATTTAACACATTTCTACCAGGATACAGTAGGCCTATCTGATAGCACAGAAACTGTATGAACCACAATCAATTTATTCATCTTCATCGTATCACAAAGAACTGCGAAGAGTGTCAATGCACATAAAACTGTACCAACTATTACTGTAGCAAATAATTTTCAAATGTGCAGCTAATGCACACATGCATTTAATGTAGTGATCACTGAGCAATCGGTCATCACAACCAGCAGTTTGACTCTACTGCCTTGAATATAAATATATAAAACAGGGTGACTTAGGAGCAATTACTTCATTCAAATCAGGAAACAATGGTTCCTTCATCCCCTATTTTCAATAGGTTCCTCAATACTAGATATAATTGCATAATAATGAATACAGATAGTATGACTTGAAAATGTTAACATCAACTCTTCATTGTTACATTATTGTTTCATTGCTACTGTACTTTGAAAATGTTAACACCTAGAACCTTTGCTAACATATATTTTTCACTTAAGTATCTATATTAATAATTACTACATCCATTTATTATTCATGTTTGATTCATAATTGATTGGTGTTGCGAAGCAACAACAAACAACGGTAATGGTCATATTGTGTTATTATTAATTTATAATATTAACCATCAATATGTAGTAGAAGTACAGTGAATATAATCTTTATTGTCTAAAATTTAGAGAAAAAATTGGTTCCAACCTGGCTTGGTTTGATATTAGTATCAAGGACCTCAGTATCGGCCTTATGGATCACTCCTTTTAAAAACAATTTCTTAACTCTCCATGCTGTCAAAACCCTGTGATTTGACCTCGGTACAATATGACACCAATACACATCT